TGTGTTTTTATTTAAAAAACACAGGGGGACAGGACACAACAAGTGAGGAGAAAAAGACAGGAAAACCAGCTACCTCTGGTCAAGCAATAACTGAATCTGAGAGGAAAGGGATTCAGAGAAGTGTTGTGCTGAGAAGAGACAGGGGCCACCGCTGTTGGGACCTTCTCAACAAAATCCAGGGGTGGAGTACACTTTCTCCTGCTTTCCATATTCATCACTTTCCCTGAGTTGCAGCAGAACAAAACTGACTCAATTCTTCAATTTCACAACAGCTTACAGAGCTTCCAGTAAATTAAGTGAAAATTTAACAATTTTCATTCTTTTGTAGATTGGGAAACTACAAGAGATCATGGAATCACTTGTAAAACCTTTTATGAAAGCTGCCTTCACAAGAAGACTAGAAAACACTTTTTAAGAGGAACGGTAGGTTTTGTGAAGGTTTCTACTCTTGCTCTTGGAGAAAACTAGTTACAGACACAGTGGAGAGGGACAGGAGAGGCACAAGCAAGAGAACCGTATCTAAGCTGGCCTATATCCTACAGGAGATGTTGTGATGTGTTAGCACCAGCCAGGGAAAACTTTTACTTGGTTTCAACCACAACCCTTTTCTGTAGCCAAAGGGAACGTACAGAATCAAGCCAAACCATCGGAACAGAGATTCTGAGACTACATTCCATGAAAAATAGGATGATCATATGATGCTGGGCTCCCTTTACGTCCCAACAGTGAAGCACTCGCAAGTGTTTTTAGCTATTATTATTTTTATATTGAAGCAAAGGCACAAAGGATGGCCCAGGAACACGGTGTGATCATCAACGGAGCCTTCAGTTCAAATTTGAGAACTGCTGGATTACATCACAGCCCGGTTTAAAACTGACCCAGGAAAAGCAAGAAAAAAGAAAAAGGGTTAGTTTGCATTCAAATTACTTTCCCAACCGAAGCTGTTGTGGGGCTACATAACCGTAGCTTCGGGTGACCGTGTTGGCTTGGCGAGCGCAGAGCGCGGCAGAGCCAGGGAGCTCACCAGCCCTGTGTGAAAGTTCTGTTTCCTCATCTCAATTTAGGCTTCATTCACAATTAAGAAAAGACGACCAATCCCGGATCCTATTCTTCCCCAAGCATTTCCTCCAAAAAGTCTTTAAAAATACCAGTTGTTAATGAGCAGCTTGTCTTTTCACCAGCTACAAAGCAGGCATGCTTAAACCTGTAGCTACAACCAGTGCGGGACTTAAAGCCAAAGGGTTCCCTTTTTACTTCTGTTAAAATATAACACCGAGATGCTGCCATTGAGCAGGCCTCCATCTGCTTCTTAATAGTAAGACATTAGTGAAATTTTCTGGAACATTTCCTCATTCAAACAGCCGGTCCACACACAGAAAAAAAAACGTGTGTTATTTAAAAATAACACCATAACAGCAATATTGAGAGGCACTGCCATCACAAGCAATAAAAGGAGCGATTTCAGAGATAGCACAAGACTTGGGATCTCTTGATCCGCACACTCTCCTTCCCCATTTTTGCAGGAGCAGCAAATATCAAGGGAGTTTACTCCATTTGAAAAGATGAAAATAGCAGAGTCCTGGCGTTCGGTTGCCGAAAGGTCCTTTGAAGTCTGTTCACACTCTCTTTGAATTAATCTTGTTGATTCCCCTGTTCTCCCTCCTGCCCAAAGAGACATCACTCGGTGGTGGGTGACTGTTTAGGAAACAACACAGACACAGCTTTTTTTCCACACAGCCCAATTAAGAAGTGTATTTCTTGCTCCATTTGAGATTCAGGTTTAAATGAATTCTCCCTGTACTGCTTTTTAAAGGAATATGTAACAAAAGACATCCTTTCAGCCAACGTTTGGGCTTCCAAAAACGTTCCAGAGCTTCTTTCATGTCCAAAAGTAGTAGCTTCCAAATGTAATACAGAGAAAATCTGCAAACTTGAGCGGCATAAGGGAAAAAAAAAACCCACTTAAAAACTAAAAAAGAAACAAAGTTAAGTAGTATTATGTTAAGGGTGTTTATTTGCAAATTTAACGCCTAACCAAAGACAGGCTGTTTTAGCAATCTCCATTGATTGCTAAGATTTTAAAGAAAATTATACCAATGAACTGAAGAGTTAGGGGGTAAACACCTAAAAAGAAAAAGAGTAGCCTCCTCTGTAAGTGTAAACAGAAATTCTCTTATTTCTGCTTGTTCATTGTTTAATTCAGGAACTAATTAGGGGTTCAAAAAGGGAGAAAACATGGGGTTTTAAATCCAGAGCAGGGAATGAAGAAGAAATGCAAGAGCTCAGATCTACTATTTCTTAAGCGCTTAAAAGAAACAGTAACCAGAAACAGCCAGTCCTAGAAAAAAAAAATACTTTAATACAGCAAGTTTAAATTATTTATCAAAACACACTTTTTTTCCCCTCTCTTTTCTTTTTAAACAGTAAGATTTTAATAGATCTTTAACTAACATACTTTGGTTCTGGACTTTTTTTTTTCCCCTCCCTGGAGAGGCCTTTGAAATAGATCTCAATTTCCATTTAAATTGAAGTAATCAATAACAAAATATGTCAGTAGTACAAAAAAAAATTTGTATTATTCTTGTTTTCTCTCGTTCTCTTGGAGAAGTCTCACAGACATGTTAAACCATATAATTAAATGTGTACAGATAACACCTTTGTTGTTTTTGATTAGATGAGTAGATTTCTCCCAAATTAAACTTTAAACGCGTGCCAACAAATGAGAATTAACCTAAGAAATAATTAGAAAGAGAAACAAAAATCAAGGTTTCCTGCTTGTTGATTTCAGTAGTCCATATAAGCACAATTTAAATGGCTTCTAGGCCTTTTGATTAAGATCAAGAGCAGTATCTGTGAAAGGAGTCCATTCTGGCGTGTGTTTAGTATGGTCTGACTTGATAATAACTTTCCTAAATGTATTCCTTGAAAAGTCCACTTAATGACCAGCTACTGCAGTAGGTACGGAACAGATGAGAACACAGGATGCAGTTTCAGCTCTGCATTAAATACACAGCTACCATAAATAAATGCAGCGTTTGAAAGGCTGTGTGATGTCCTCAGAAGGCCAGCTGAGAATTAACCAAACCCGTAATTCATTGCTCCCCTATTTCTGTGGCTCACTTACAAAAAAGCACACACACACATACCTGAGGAAACCAATCTACATCCCATGCTGCATCATTTACAAAGCAATCAGTGCTCCTTAATGTGTCACACACAATACAACACACCACCTGATTTTACTGAGGAGATGAGAGATAAGGCCGAACACCAATAGTGACCAAAGCCCAAGTGTGAAAATGAGGTGAGAACCTCTCTTGCCAGGACACACACAGAGTTTTCCAGAGCTTCACGTGCAGCCTTCGCAACAGCCCCATGGAGATGAGAAGGGACAATTAGCACAGGGAGACAGCTCCCTCAGCTCCTGCCTTTGGAACAGGCAACAGACTTTTCTACTCTAGGTCTTACCTAGGAACTAAAGCCTCAAACTGTACCAGTTTAAATTCAATGAGATTCTTCAACCCACTGAAAGTTGTTGCAAGCCACAACACAGACTCAACTTTGACATAAAGACAGTTTTAAAGCTCAACCTTGACCAAACCTAACCAGCTTAACCTCCACTGAAAGTAATTTGTCACAAGTTCCTATGCCTCTACAACGAGGTTACTTTTCCTTCTTTGACCATCTCAGGTCAGTGTTGTGAAACTACCGTGTTAACAAACCTTTGCGTCACCGACACCGCAAGAGCTCAGGACACCGGTTCCCACCAGCAGAAGACACAACAGACCACCATGGGGTAAACTGGAGCCTGTGTGCTGCTACAAATTTGCCATAAAATAACGACCAACAAACCAGTCAGAAGCACCAGGTAGCTGTTACAATTACATTTCTACCTTCAACCATACTGCAATCAAACATGGTCAAGCATCTAACTCTTGAGAAGAATTGCCACACTCGCCTCACAAATTGTGCAAAATCACATCAGGAAACTCAGCTGCCTTCAACCTCCCATGCTGATTAGCCCCAGTATCATTACACAACATGATTACAATCTTCTTCATAGGTAGTTCAAAGTAGCACAAATTTCCTGAAAGTCACTGGGAAGGACCAGCTACAACCAATGCTTCACCAAAACCTACTGTTTTCTTTTCAGCCCATTTATGCTCGAGATGTTGACACTCTTCACCATGACAGCACAGCTACAAAGGGTTTGTCAAGCCTCCTTTACCATGTTAAATAATAACTGAACAGTATGCTAATTTACTTTCCTCCAGTGAACTGTCTGCATTCCCTTCCGATTTCCTGTAGCTACAAATATGATAATCAGGAGAACAAAGACTTTAGCACAGCCACTCAGGAACCAGTAAATGAAATGAAGTATGCCTGACTCCAGAAGAAGCAAGGAGAGACCTGCAGCTCAGCTTGCCCTGCGTACCCTGAGCCCATGTTATGGAGATATTAAACAAGAATAGTGAAAAATTGCCCATCTGAGTAAAGTTTCTCTTTTTAACTTCACGGACAATACCACCACTTAGCAACACAGCCGTTCTTAAAACGAACCAATCTACCTTTAATTCCCACTTCCTCCCCAGCCTCTCTGGACAGCAACTTCTGGCACTCCATCAGTCCCCTTTTATCCCAGTTTCTTTTTATAAATCCAAGGTCAGGTTTCCTCTCCCATCTCATGTGATGCGCTGGACTGAAGTTCTGCCAGCGTGGTCGGTCCCCTCCGCTGCCAAACCCCATCCCGTGCCACAACACTCCTTACCAGACTGTTCCACCACCCCACCAGCATTTCATTCTGGGCATTTTTCTCATGTTTAGCGGAGAGGAAATAAAAAAAAAATAAATATGGGGCGGGATGGGGGAGAAACACCAACTTTCCCAGCGACGCTTAATGGCATATAGAAAAATTCACACCCCCTGCAATCAAGTCACACCCGGGGGGCTGTCGGGGGGTCCCCCACCGCCCTCCCCAGCTCCCCCCGGCCCTCCCTCACCTCCTCCTCGCTCTCGCTGCGGAAGCACAGGCAGGCCGCCCGCTTCTTGTAGCCGTCCCCGTCGTAGGTGCGCGTCTGGTTGGACTTGAGCTTCATCATCCTCCGCTCCGAGGGGGCGGCTTGGGGCTGAGGGGAGCGGGGAAGGGGGGAGGAGGCCGGAGGACCGCGACAGTCTCTTTCTCGGTCTCCGCTCTGTCTCCCGCAGGCCGGGAGCCGCCCCGCTACGCGCTGCCGCCTTTCGCCCGCCTCATCCCTCCCTTCACTTCCAGCCGCTCCGCCGCCGCTGCCAGCACTCCGGCCACCGCCGACGACGACGACCGCGACGCCATCTTGGGGCACGCTACGCAAACGGCGTAGAGCCGCCGGGCGGGGGAGGCGGCGGCTGCCCCCTGCCGCTTCACGGGACGCCCGCCACGCAGACAACGCAGCCCGGCTTCCAGAATCGCTCCCCCCGCGCAGACAGCGCCACCACGCCTCCGCCTCCTCCCTCCGCCTCGCCGCGAGCCCCTCTGCGCCAGGGGCGCAGGCCGCTTTCCAGAATAAGGCGGCTTCGTGCCGGTTACGCAAAAGGCGCCGGGGCGGCGCCGGCCCCCAGCGCACATGGCTGAGCTTTGACAGCGGCTCTACGCAAAGCGCGCAGACGCCGGGGAGTGAAGAATGCCCGTCTTGCGCAAGGCGGGGGGGGGCGGGTTACGCCAGTGGCGTAGAGCGGTTGCGGGGGTCCCATTGTACAAAGGGGAGGGGGGGTTGCACCCCCGGACGGGGTCCTTGAAGGGAAGGGGGGGGCTCTGAGAGCTGGGGGGCCTCAGCACAGAGCTGCCTCATGGGGGGGCACACGAAGGACCCCCCACTATCACTCCTCACTCTCCACAGGCCTTTTGTGGACTATTTTCAAGTCCCTCCTCAGGGAACGATGTCAGGAGGCAGCCTGCAAGCCCCCCACTGCACCCTAGGGGTGTCAGGGCACAGCCCAGCCCCACACAGCCCCTCTGCCCCCCTTTGTGTGCTCCCCCGGGAGGAAAACCAGCAAAGCGGCAACTGCTTCCCTGGGTGGCACCTGCCCAGTCTGGTTTGGCATCAGCAGCCCAGCCTTTGCTCCGCAAGACGAGAGAGTCAAAAACGGAGGGTAAGCCAAAAAGCCTTTAATGTCTTCTGGTATTGTGTATTCACTGAATAAAAGGTTCTTTTCCAGGTGTGGATCCCACTAGAGGCACCCTCCAGAGAGCAGACGTGGCTGACAGCGGTGCCTCACACCCTGAGCACTCACAAGCTTTGAGAGGGTGAAGGAGGAAAAACCAGCAAAGTGGCAACTGCTTCCCTGGGTGGCACTTGCCCACTCTGGTTTGGCATCAGCAGCCCAGCCTTCGCTCCACAAGAGTGTCAAAAACGGAGGGTAAGCCAAAAAGCCTTTAATGTCTTCTGGTATTGTGTATTCACTGAATAAAAGGTTCTTTTCCAGGTGTGGATCCCACTAGAGGCACCCTCCAGAGAGCAGACGTGGCTGACAGCGGTGCCTCACACCCTGAGCACTCACAAGCTTTGAGAGGGTGAGGATGGATCCATTCTCCTCCCCACAGAGCTCCCATCCCAGGGCTGGACAGGCTGGTGGGTGAGGAGACAAGAGAAATACTTGCCCAAGAATCGATTAGTGTTCTTCCCCCCAAACCAATCTTTACTTGCTCATTTGGATCTTCCCTTTAATGAGTCAAATGTTCTTTCAGCAGAAAACATTTAGCACTTCATAGCAATTGCCACACTCTGAAGTCATCCAAGTGATTTGAAATAGTTGCTTAACTTCACATGAAGCTAAATGTTTTGCTGAACACAAGGTCTGCTTCCCAAACAGAATCACAACTAGAACTGCGTGACAGCAAGTGGGAACATCACCACTACACTGCAGGATAAAAAAAAAGCAGAAGCATGAACAAAAAGCCCCAGTAAACACAAATAACCCAAAAGCTCAAGAATATCACCAGCAAAGCTGAAGAAAGAGCTGCTTTAATGCACATTCCCATTAAGAACAAGGCTAGTCTGGATTAGGTTTAGCTAAATTGCAACCTACAAACATCAATGGAGCCAGATGGATCAGTTATAACAAAGATTTGAAACATCTAGCTCTTCCTAGTTCCAATTCCCCCCCAGAAATAAAATCAATAAATAAAAAAATCCTCTCATACCCACCATTTCCCTCACCCCAAGCCAGGACTGGAAGAAACTCCTTTCCCTGGGTTAGTGTCTAGCACTTGTATAATATTAAGTCTGCCCTGAACAAGGTACCATTTACCAGGCTACAGAAACCCATTCCTAATTAGCATCATCCCATTATTAGTTGGCGGGTGACATCTACTGGTAGGCTGCACACTGCAGGGGACCCTGTGCTCCCCGGCTCTGCTCAGCTGCAGGCAGCAGGTGCTGTTACAAATATCCCATCTGCCATCCCTTCAGCCACCTTTAATTAACCCAGTGCTTTCAGAACTGGGATAAAGGAACCACTCACCTGCCTGCACTGGCCGTGTCCAATCCACAGAGGGGCTCAGGCCAACAGAGCTGAACTGCCTGAGTTTTCTGTCTGCAAAATAGAATTGTCTCTGAGCCCAGATTTACTGCATTACTAGGAATCACCAGAAATGAGTGCCTTCCTGAGCAGAGTAGAAAGACTGCCTGCAGTGCTTCTGCTCCTTATTCCTCCCTAAGAACCACCTCTACAAACAAGGGAAACCCTACATCAATAACCACCACACCTACAAAGTTCCTTCCTATAACCTGCTTCTAATCACAAGTTATTCCACTACAGTAGTTACACATGCCAAAGATTTGAGTCACCTCTCTGTGAGCTCCAGATTTATGCACTTAAATAAGACGCGGTGATGCAACCCAGGTGGCATTTTCACCTATTTTATTATACACAAAACATGAGCAGGAAGTTCTACTGAGGAGGCTGACCACGTCCACGACCAAATCCACCTCTCTGCAACAGAAAAGGAAGAGCATTAGAAGTCACCGTATTAAGCAAGTGACAGTGGCAAATACATGGCAGCAGGAACCACCAACACCATAAAAGAGCTACCTGCCTTTCCTCAGCTTTGCATGACTTTGGTAAGTGTCCCCTGCTTATCAAAGCTGGGAGCACAGCCTAACACTGATCTGTTAGGGACCAGCTACCTGAGACAGGTTAACCAGATCAGTGAGCCTAAGAACAAGATCAACCCATCCCAGCCAGCTCTGTGGATCATGTCTGAAATTCGTGTATTTCGAAAGCATAAAATTATGCGTTTCCTCTAGAGAGCTCGACTTGCTTCCCGTCACAGCAGCTTGGCCACCACATAGTTTACTCAAGAGGAACGCAGGATGCAGAGCTGGGCATAAAGGGTAAGGGCTGCCAGCCCCTCTTACACAGCCAGAGCCAAATCCCTAACCCCAGCTGGTATCCCTCAGCAGCACCATGCAGATATGGCCTATCCACTTTCTCCCTATCGAAGCCTCATTAAAAAAAGCAAATCTCAAATGCAAATACTCACAAACTGGAATTCAGTGGCTGCTCCAGCACCAGCCTCAGCCTTCTTGTCAGCACCAGCTGAAAAGAGAGAAGGAGGAGTTATTCACCATTACTAACCAAAGAATCCACTCCCCAAGTACAGCCTGCCTGCTTGGAATCACAGGTTTACAATCAAACATGACTACAGCTGAGGTTAATTATAGCATAGAAAATAGCTATTATTGACATCCAGCCCAGAGAAAACCCCACAGTCCAGCTTGGGAAAATTCAAGAAAAGACTCATATCCATAAGCAGATACAGATGAATTCTGCTGCGTAAATGCCTAAGTTACATCAAGAGTCTGATTTTCCCCTTCCCTTCTTGAAAGGAAGCCAATACCAAAGACAACCCTCCCAAAGAGATAAGCTGCACAAAGAGCAAGGTCGGCCTGATGCTCCCACAGCAACACAGGGGAACTCACGTGGCACGGCGCTGCGTCTGTACGTGTCCCTGTCAGCCTCACCCCGCGTGAGACGCGCTGGGCGCTCGCCTTCCAGACCTGAAAGGGAAAACAGCACCATCAGATACATCCCTCACCCGGGACACAACCCACTCATTCCATGGGTGACCCTCCAGCTCAAGGTGGAAAAAAGCCCTCCATTAGCTTTACCAGCAGAGCTGCACACCTCAGGCAGCTCAGTGTTACAAATCTAAACAAAAAAAAAGTGGTGCAATAAGGAAAAGTTTGCTATAAGGGTAAAATCTGCTGAAGTGCACCAGACTGTGCTTGGGTTAAAGTTAAATAATGTGAAAAATGCATTTAAAGCATCATCTCAGTTTCATCTCAACAGCCAGAAGAACAAAGAAACGAGCAAAAAATTAATGATTATAATAAAAAATAATATCAGAAATACAGGGAATCTGTCACATCCCACAAGCTTGTTCATAGCTAAATTGCAAATGGCACGACATTCTGACCCCAACCTAAAATACAGCTACGCTATCGGTATCACAAATCCTCCACAATGGAATAGATTAATAAAACTAAGAGCCGATTATCCATGTAACATCAGATTAATATCAAGACAGAACACGTGCAGGAAAGAAACAGATGTGGTGGAACTGCCAACCCCTTACAGGGTTCGCCCTGAGCACGGAAGATGAAATACACTCCCTCAGCACCAGGCACTGAGACACATTTAGGGGCAGTTGCTGCCTGGGCCACCACGGTGTCTCATGCACGCTGCAAGAAACATCAAACAGGCAGTTCTACAGGCTTGATATACACTGCAGGCACTAGTTTTCCCCATACAAAAAAACACTTCTTAAAATAGATACTTTTATTACAAAGAGAAACACTACCCAACAATGTGCACAGATCAGCTTATCTTCCGAGTGCTTCTATGTCCTTATTTTCTGTCAGGTTAAACCATTAAAGTACAACCCCTCACCAATGGATTATGTTTTTTTAACTTCAGATCTTTCCATTCTTAATTTCTAACAGTTCAATTACATCTGTAACAGACTGCAAATATCAAATATGCAGTAGTCTAAAACCTGCTTTAGACTCTTCCAGCTTTTCTACCAAGCCTTACTGGAGAAAGTCGATAGCACGGCATGGAAGTACCAGAAAAGGCCCCAACACCCCAAGAGATCAAGCAAGACCCATGAGCTTGGATTCTGCACCACCATCCACACACACCTCTGCGACTTCTCCTCTGCTGCAGTCTAAAGCAGGTAATCCACAGACAAACAGCCCAGAAACAGCCAATTTGGGCAGCCCCACCAGCTAACCCTGCTGAGGTGCAGACTGGTGGAGGTCACTGGCACTGCACAGGGCAGTGATGCTGCAAGGTGAAGCTTCCTCGCTGCAGAAACCCTGAGCAAGCTTTAGCCAGGAACTGTGAGCCCCATCCTC